GTCTATTCATTTTGTATGAACTTGGGCTTCAGTTTAGTCGACTGAACCTCTAGTCAAATGTAAAGCGATTTTCGCTCAATCATTTCGTTTCTCTTTTGTATTTACTTTGCATAACATTGGAGGTTCACTTTTTTTATTGAAGCGCTTGCACGCATTAATTTAAGAGTTATGATTATTTTACGTACATATTTTGCAGGACTTGTTTTCTCTTTTATTTATATATTTGTTTGTATGTTTTGTGTTTATTCAATACTGAACATAGTTCCAATGTGAATGTTATTTCATTTGCATGCTTTGTAAGCAGCGCGGTGCAGTTTTTATTCTGAACCTTAGTATATTTTAAGAGGAATGTATTTTCTCTTTCATTAATTATAAGTAATGTTGGGTGTAACTAATATATGTATGTGTGGTTTTGTTTGTATTATATGTTTTGTGTTTATATGAATCTGTTTGGAAAAGCTATTATTAAAATGTTAAGTAGCAAAATAGCGAGATTGTTTACCTAATAAAAAAAGTTCTAAAAAGGAAGCTTTGTTAAGGTGTTCAGTGAACACTCTGAACCATTCGACGCCTCGCCTCTGCTTATACATATAACTTCATATTCGAGTCGCCGGAGTATCTTACATTAAATCTGTTCTGGAGGAACTAGTGCCGAATCTCAACACAAATTTACACAAATATTTTCAAGGGATAAAGTTTCAATGCAGATAAAGCTTTTTATGGACCTTGGCATTCATAAAAAAAGGATTTTTGTTTTAATTTCAAATGTTTCAAACCCATAAGTTTTTGGGGATAGATTAAGACTTCTCAACAATAATTCGGTACAACTGGATGCATTGCTGAAATGGCTTTTCCAATTTTTTGAACATTTAAAGAGTTGCTAACTTTTTATTAGGAATATAATTTATACCAATGGGTGAAGTTGCAACTAAATTCTTCTTCAGAAGAAGGTATTTTTAGAACTTGATTGTTTGAATGTTGAAGTGGAAATGAGCAGTTCGTTTAAAAAAGATAAAAAAAAACTGTTACTTTTCTCAATAAATATTTTATTACATTTTGTCATTATATTGAGCTTATATCAAGCTTATTAAACTTGAAATATATAAAAACCTCCAACGATTTCACTTAATATAACGTATTATAATTATTGGATTTGCGATTTGTATTGAATCTGTGTAATATTTGTCTGGGTATTAAAGGCACCCAAAACTTAAGTTTGATTGTGAACTGTGAACAAGCCTGGATATTGACACAACTTGGGCTCCAGTATTTCTTTCTTGAACTTTGCTTTCATGTGCTACAGAAGATTCGACTGGTTAAGACTTAGATACTTCCAATTTACTTTGGCCTATGTGAGAGCTACTACATTTGGAGTATATAAGCCATGTTGTTCTTTAACTAGCTGCTGAAATAGTTCGTATATCAATTATCGTGTGTGATTGGCAGAAGAAGAAATTGAAACGGAAGGTTTCATAGTTGAAACCTTGAAATATTTTAGACTAGATGCAGAGTCATGAAATAGCTTTTATAGTTGCCTATCAGTAATAATATATAAAGATTTCATTTTCATAAAAATCCATATTCACAGTAAGAGAACAGACTCTTAAGATAGCAAACACTTCTGCCTGAAACATTAAAGTACAGTTGCAAAGGACTTTGTGCCTTTATTTTTCCCATCAGTTTAAATTGTTATCTTTTCTTGTGTAGAATTGGCCCTTCCTTCCAATCTCTTCTTGAGGAAAGTTGTTATCAAAGTATATAATCTTTCAGGAGTAAGTCTAATAATAAAGTCATTCAATCAGTCGTTTATAAATGCCTAAATTCTGAGATGCAGCTTTATAACTATTTTAGTTGATCTACTGACCATCCTGTTAATTGTCAACTGCGTAGAATTTACTGTTCTTTACGTATTACTAATAAATTAATAGGTTCTTGATATGGGATTTATTTTTCCTGTTTTAGATGAAATTGCTTCGGTCGGTCTAGTCTTGCCGATCTATGGATTAGTGTTGGTTTATGTGAAACTAATAGAATTACTGGTGAGTGATCAGAGTTAAAATATAAACATTCAATGATACTAAGATGACTATTATTATTTTTGTATTTTTGAAAATGAACAGCTCAATTAAATATGGGATCTTGGTTGCATACAAACACCATAAAGAAGTCATTTGAAATTATATCACATCCTATAGACCCCAATTAAAGTCATATATAATATTCAGCTATTATTTTGAATGTATTGGGATTTCTGCTAAGGGAACAGATTATCCAACTAATAAGAATTCTCGTTAAGGCAGCAAGATATTCTTGTTTTTAGCAGAATTCTCGCTAAGAGACGAAGATATTCCGCTTTCAGCAATTTTCGCTGAATTTAAAATCCTAAATCCCGGGCGGAGTTTCCGTTCTTGTAAAGATATTCTTTTGCTATATTGGGAAGGTGAATGAAGCAACGGGTTAATTTCAAATAAAATTATATCATTTTCTTAAAGTATAGCATGACGATGCTACATGTATGCGCTTCAAGTATGCCGATCAAGTATGCGCTTTGCTATACACTTTGAAACAAGGTGTATAAAATATATATATTGTAGAACATTTTGGTATATAAATTGTATAATATGTGTAATACGATTTCGCAAAAATAACAAAAATATTGTTATGATCTATATCTAGTTTGATACAGATTTTAGCTAATCCGGCACTTGAACCAGCTTAACTTTACTCTTTATGTTATCCTCCGTACCTAGTCTGATACGGATTCACTAATCCGGCACTTTAACCAGCTTAGTAATTCATTTACGCAATCCGGCACATGAACCAGTTACGTAATTTATAAATAGCTATATATATATGTAAATATATATATAGGTATTTATTTATTTATTTTATTTTATTATTGATTTTCAAATTCGGCACATAAACCGACTTTGCTCAAGGTTCTTTTAGGCACTTAAACCAAAAGAAAACACTTGGTTGAATTCAGGTTTTGAAATTGAATTAAATGTTTATTGAAAAATGTTGTGCTTTTATACAAAATTCTTAACACTAAGCTTATGGTAAAGGAGGAAATGCACCTAGTTCCCACGATTTGTTATCCGATGGACTTTGAACATTCAAGGCCAAGGGCACTCGTGGGAAATATGTGCATTACCTATGCTTATACTATTTAATGCAGCCAGCAAGCTGATATATGTATTTTGCCATATATCAACCTGCTTCACAAATTTGGTGACTTAAGTGTGTTATCACTGAAGCCATGCGCCAACTCATATTGCACCTGTGGGAACAACAGAATTGTCGCAGCGGCTTGCCTATTGCTGCAACTCACAACGAACACACGATAAAAGAAAATGAACATAATGCTTATCAACCTTGCACAGTGGCGTGAGAGGATGATCATGTTACGTCTGGCACGCTGATATCGTGCGAATATTTAGTTGTGAGAGCCAGCAACATTGCTAAAACTATTTGATAACACAAATAAAACCAACAACAAAAACAACATAAGAAGCTAATTTAAAGTACTTATGTATACATATAATTAATACAATAATAATAATACAATTATAATAATTGATACAATTGATTTTTATAATAAATTTAATATAAAACTTAACAAATATATTGCATACAAAAAATTAAATTTTTTTCTGTAAAGTGCAAAACATTCGACCATTTCATTCATTTTTCAATATATATTAAAAAATTAAGAAGTAGAACAATGTTTCACGGTATTTTTAATTTATTAATTTATTTGAGTTAATTTATTTGAGATTCAAGGAATCACGAGTAAGTTACCTGTGATTCGTTTATGTAACTTTCTCACTTAGTTTTGTCAAACGATTTTCTCACTTTTAATATTTAGTTACTTGAATTGTTTGTCAAAAGTGGAAAAAATTATTTTAAAAAATGAAGTGAGAAAGTTACATCTGCTAGCCGCTGACCTAAGGCTGCAGTTACATTGCATGTGAATTTTGTCTTGCGTGATCATACGAACAAATCAAACATATGTATTCATATGTGAGTGGTTACAGTTGCTGAGAACTTTTCGCGCGAAGTCTTGTCTTTCTCATGCGAATATTTGATTAAACAAAATATCTTGTTTGAAATTCATGCGTTCGTTCCAAATCGTAGGTGTAAATAGTGAAATTGAGAGGAGTGTTTTTTACGTTATTTTAGTTTATAGATGGAAATAAATTTGAAAAGATACACTAGTTTTAGGGAGTGGATTGCGATTTGCTAATTGCTTTGTTTGAAAAATATACAAACTCTCCATTTCTTTACCTTGAAGAATAAAAATCATGCTCCCAAATTCATCCTTTGTTATTTGAAATTAATAAATAACTTGATAACGAATTTTCCACTAAATATATTTCATCTTCACTATCCATTTTGTTTTCAAAACAAACAAAATAGAGCTTTCAATTCGCAAACAATGTAAACGCAACATGCAATGTGTTCGCATGAAAAAACATATGTACGAACACGCAAGACAAAATTCGCATGCAATGTAACCGCAGCCTAAAGGTGCATCCACACTAAAGCGAACGCTTACGAACGAACGAACTTTTGCAGGCACCATTACCTGCGTATGTAATGCCAGTGGAAACATATTAAAATAGACTATTAGTATCACGCTCAGACTAGTAAATTAACAACTATTAGAATTTGTATATAAGGCCGTGTGCGAGTTCGAGTAATTTGAGGTAAAGTAAATTGAAATTTTCTAGGGATTTTTTGCACTGTACTTATGTAAAGATTTATTTATTTATTGCACTTAATTACAAAGTAGGTTTTGCTTTATGTTTTTAATGTCAGTATTGACATACAGTTTTCTTTTTATATAAATATAGTATTAAGAAAATGTACATATTTATACATACGTTGAAAATATAATACGTACAGACAAAACATTTATATATATGTGCACTGTTTTTAAATTATTAAAAAATTCGCCTATAAATATAATTATATACATATATTTATTATTGTAATAGAAAAATTTTATATCATAATTGTTTTATTCTTAATTGTCAATTTCTTTAAATTTCAATGCTTAAAATTTACTTCATACATCACTGAACGTACTATACGGACGCTCTTATTTGAAATAAGAAAACGATGTAAAAGGCGAATGCATTGCAAATACAGATAGCTTCGAAGAAATTTAATGGTAACTATTAACAAATTTATAAACAATTCGTTGAGTGATATTAAAAATTTCACAGCTATTTAGTGCCTTAAATATTTATTGTAAATTGAGTGTCAGAAAATCCGTACAGGAGAACAAAAGCAAAACTGACAAGTGACGCTGTCGAAATTAACAAGCAAAACAAACGCAAATAATCAAAATTAATTGCGCTCGGCATTTCATATAAATATTTATAATTCGTTTTGTGTTGGCAATCATTGATGTAGTGTTAAAATAGTTGCTTTAAGTTTATAGCAATTGCCAGCAATATAAAAATCATATTAATATCACGAAATATTTATTTGTTTAGCAAAACCATGTTACCTACAAGTGTTCGGAAATCGATTCGATTCTCTGATGCCAGGCTTTATACTGAAAACGTAACAGAACTTCCACCAAATGATGATGAAGAAGAGCGACGTTTGGCACGTCGCCGTACTTTATTAAGGCAAATTTTGATGGATGAAAACCAAAATCTAGAAAAATGTTTGGAAATTTATAAAGACAATAAAATAAGTCGTGATAATGCATGGTCCTTATCAGTTATTGATACATTGACTGTTTTGCTTGAGCGTCATCAAAACTTTTTGAACAACTTTAGGGTAAGTATACTTATGTGGGTTAAATATTGTTTCTGTTTAAAACTTTGAACATAATTAAGGTTGCTTGTCCTTCGCTAGAAGCTTCATCAAGGGTATATGGTTTACGCGTAGACTCTATATACGGAGACGTTATGCGTATTTCCGCAGGTTTAGCTGCAAAAAAATTTAGCAGCAAGAATGCAGAAGTTGATGGTATCGACGATGTTGATGATTCCAATGACCGAACTGATATAGCTAATAAATCGGTCGCTGAGGCGCAACCGGACACAAATGCTAATCCACCTAAACCAAAAAAGCGTGCACGGCGACAAATAAGCACAATTACGAAAAATAAAGACACTTTAAATGGTTTATTAGAAACTGTTCCAATGGATGATGTCATCTTTGGCAAACTTAATAGAGTTGGTGGCTCAATAAATTCATCCAAACGTTTAATGAATAATGTGTTACCGACAAACGATTATGATTTAAAGTTGTGTACAAAGTTTAGTTATTGGACGGGGATTGAGAATGATAACACCGATTATACATCAGAAATTGAAGGTAATTATGCCCAAGATGATGTCCCTGCAAATGTATTTGGCGAAATTGAAAAAGAAGAAACTGATCTTAAAAATAGTGATGTGGATAAATTTGACGAAATCAGGGAAGAAGGTGGTGAAAATGAAGGAGAGATCTTGCACAAATGCTCTAAAAACTTATTTATTAGATCACTACATACTGGTTATATTATTTCAAAAAAGAATAAAATAAAGTACGACGACGAAAAAGAAAATACTTCTCCACTTAATGTGAATGATCCCGATGACACTCCACGAGTTTTAACACCATCTGAATTAGCTGTGCAATTTGACATGGATGCTGAATGTCAGCCAGTATGTCTTGATCCGGAAGCACCTATGTTAGATGTTGATTTCTGTGAATATGATGACTTAACATCAGGTAAATTATCTTTTTTATATTGATTTAGTAAACTATATAGAAACCTAATATTTATTCCAAAAATAAAATGTTCAGATAAACGTAGAATTGTAGTAGCTATGTACTATACCCTTAGTATTATGGTGTGTATTTATTTTTTTTTTCCTAAGTAAAAGAAATACATAATTTTATTGCATAAAAATCATTTTACAACATTTGGACACTGAGACAGTAATATTGAGAAGTATACAAGTGTTGCATTTTTCTTAATTAGTGACGTTGTGGGCATTCTAGAAGATATTTCCAGATATTGATATTCTCAGACAAGATTCTGGAAATTTGTAAAACTTTTTTATTTTACTTATTAATTTTAATGATTTCGAAAAGTTTAAATAGGATGAGTTCTACTCATTGCAACACTATTCAACTATTCATCTCTGTGGCACGTAAGACAGCATTGTATAGAAAAGAGTTGATGAACTTCTATTTAATAAAAAGTATTTTAACTTTGAATAAAAATGGTATAGAACTGACAATGATAAATTTTAATATGAGTATTCATATTGTGCTAAAGATTTGCCTTCCTACTAAACTTTTCTTGTTCTTAGACTAATAGTAGCTAGCAACCTCTTTCTGAATATTGTTGATACCTTTCAATTGACCGCATAACGCGCGGAAAATGTGAGCATACTGTTAAGGATTTGAGGTTTAGTAGTTGCACGGTTCAGGAAATACAAACGGTTCAGGAATGTTTCAAAACATTCGTTGATTTAATTTTGTTTCAATAACCAATTTAGAACTAATTGGTGATGCATCTATATATATATAATAAGGTTTTTTTGTAATAAAATTTATGTAAATAGTTTACAACATTATTATTGATGCTGTTTTTCAGATAAAAGATATGTAAGCTATATCCAAAAAGTGAAAAAAGTCGCACAGAATAGTCCATTTCCCCAAAATTCGACAACCAGAAAATTAAAATTTATGACATTTTGGTCCAGTGGAAATAAGCGGCAAAATAGAGAAGATGGCGATTCTGCCACTTGAGCGTATTAAAATATAATGAGTAATGTACAATAGTCAGTAGCGTCGCTTAAACGACTGCTCATATGCACCGGTGTATATATATACATATATATTAATTTTTAAGCCTGTTTAACTTTAGTTTTTGGTCGGTTTGGTAGTTTTCTTTTTTTAATTTTGATTATACCCTATGCGCTATTATTTGGAAAAGTGAATTGATTTGACGAGCTAATGAAATTAAAGTGTCAATGTCAATACAAATTCACTATATTTAATATCAAAAAAAAAGCGTCAAAATTATATGAAATCGTTAGTAACTAATTTTCATTAATTCATTAATTACATTAATTAAAAAACATAAATATCTAATTAAAGAATACTGAAGCTTCATTTATAACTAATTTTTTTTTTTAAATTTCAATATTTTTTTAGAGGAAGTAACTGCAATAAATAGATGCCGAGGTTTACGCCATTCAGCACAGATTATGGAGGATTTACGTCCTACTGATTCTTCATCACAGTTGGAATATTCGTATCGTCCTCTAAATAAAATCTCTAGATTTTGGGCTGGTCCGTCCCATTGGAAATTTAAAGGACTTCGCCCAAGTCAGTCTACTTTACTATTTTCAAGTAATACTCAAAATGGTCGACTAATAAATCAACGGGCACAACGTGCACAAGTGGTTAAGACACGTTCAAAACCTCTTATATTTGGAGTAGACGGCGACGAGAGTTTGTATCTGCCTTATGACAAGGCCACAAATAAACAACGCCGTGCTAATATACACAAAAAATGGGACCAACGCAAATTAAAACTACCTACAGATTTACTTGTTAATAAAAATACATTTATGCGTGGCTGGCTCGTACCTAGAGGTTATGACATACAAAATTCAAATCTTCGTAAAACGGTGGCTAATAAATCGGCTGGTACTATTGCGAATTCCGTTGTTCAGCCTGATGATGATGAACATTGTGCGGATAACGATGTATTCATAGATCATCTTGACATGTTATCAGATACTGAACATTTACAGAGAGATGATGTAGGTGTTGATTCTGAATCGCAGGAGTGCAACGATACGGTGTTGGAGATTGCTACAGAATTTGATGGAGCACCTTCTCAAGTAAGCATTGCATTATATAAAAACAATTTAGTAATAAAAATTCATTAACACATACTTTTTTTAAGTATCTTTACTAAAATTTGTTCCTCAAATTTAATTATAATTAATGGTAAATATACAGTACGTCAAGAATGTGTTTACACATTGAAATAAAATTCACTTCTTTAACTTATAATCGCAAAAATACTGCATTTCGTTTAAATATAACGATTTTTGTGAATAATTTTTAATAATTGATAAATTGAAAATATAAACATAAAAAAATGTTCATTAGTTTGTTGAAAAAAAAAAATGGAATATACAACAAAAATATATATCCTACATAATTTTGTGACTGTCAAGTAACTGTTTACATAAATAATATAAAGTTGTTTAATATAAGCTTTATTCAATGGAAACTTTTTCATATAATGTTTTAAGTATTTATAATGGTCTTTTGTAGTATCTTTGATATAACATATTGCAGCCTTTTTTTATGGAATTAACCCAGTCTCACGTTGTTGTTGCTTAGTATCAAATTTCGCTTTTGCAGTATTATGGTTTTAGGTAACCTCTGGGTTTTTCGTTGTTTTTGACGATTTTTGATGAAATTTAAAATGTGGCTTTTCCTTTTAATGGCCCAAATACATTCGCATTTTTTATTAAATGATATTCCAAACTACTTTAATATTTTTGGGTGTCTTTATGTAAGGGGAATCCCCAGTCCTTCTGCTTCAAATGAAGCGTCAAATTGTAACACATCATTTTAAAAATTTGACAGGAAAAGTGATATTCCATTTAATAACAATATAAATACCTTAAAGCATGCTTGGTAGGTTAATAACGCAAAGCACAATTTATGCCTCATAGGAGGTTATAACATTGTCTCATTATTTAAAAAAAAAATAAAAAAAATTAAAGTAGTAGACAAATATTTTGTACAAAACGCGATAAATTTTAACTAAAAACTCTTGTTTAGTGTTTGTTCCGCGTTATGGCCCGACGCTCTGTTATATAAGAAACAACAACAATATATTCTTCCCTAAGTTCCGTAGTATAGACCCAGGTCAAATGTTCCTGGTTTTTTCATATTTTCGTCATGATAACATATTCTGCATTCCGTAGTATAGACCCAGGTCAAATGTTCCTGGTTTTTTCATATTTTCGTCATGATAACATATTCTGCATATGCTGTGAAAGTTGGTCTTAACGATAATTTTATACATTGGCTCTAATCTACTCTCTTATTCAGCTAGATTTAAAATATTATAAATAGTCCCACATATTAGTAAAATATTTCTCATAGTTTCCCCAAGTGGCGGCTATAATACCTGGACACCACTGCAAACGATAACGTTTCATTTTACAATTAAAAGTGAAAAAATTAGAAAACAAGAATTAATTAAGTATCAATATCTCAGACAAGAATCAATGCAGGGAGTCAATTACGCCAAATTTGCCGCACATCGTTTAAATAATGCAAAATACTGAAAAAACACAAGTTGTGTAAACAGTTACTTGACATTCAAAAATGATGTGGGATTTGTTTTTGCCAAATTTTGTGTTCTTCTTTCAATAATTTTATAATGTTTTTTTATGTTTATATTCCTAATAGACTAATTAAAAAATATACAGTGAAATTCCCCTAACTCGAATCGTCAAAGGGACGGCAAGGGAAGACATTTATTATTACAGAACTGTCTTTTTAAGTTGTCCTTATTTTTTAAAATCGTTAATAAGGTGTTACAAGGAATTCCATATTTTTCGGCTATATCTTTTTTCTTTTTTGTCACCTTTTTCTACTTCATTAATTAAATTGATTTTTTCCGGGATTGTCAAACATTTCAAATTTCTTTTACTCATGTTTGTGATTGAAAGTCTACTGCTTCACTGATAATGAGCACAACTTCATCATTGCATTAAGGAAATTTACAATAATAAGAGCAGTTTTTAGCCATTTTAGTGTCGCTGAAAGTTAGAATCCAATAATGTCGCGTAAGTTAGAAAAGTAGATGACAAAAGTATTTGAAAATATAAAGGCAAAACCAAAAATTCAAGCTGTGGAGATAAATTTAAAGGGAAATGCTAAAAAGCTATGCCAATTTTTAGTTCGAGTTAAGGGAATTCGACTTATGGAGAAAAAAAGCCAAGGAAGAGTTGTTGAAAATTCAAAGTTCGCACATAGAAGTTCGAGTTGTGGAATAATTCGACTTAGGGAACTTCGAGTTAGAGGAATTTCACCGTATAAAATAAAAAACATATATACTAAAACAAAAAGTTGTCTTTTTTTGAATAAGATATTGAAATTTTCAATTTTTTTTGAATGTGTAAAGTTATACTTGACAAACTGTATATACCATATGTATATTAGGGAATCCTAAAAAAATCAAATTCTTTTTTTTTTCAACGCATACCCTGTAATTATGTTTGAATGGTGTCAAAACAATTGTAAATAAAATTTTATGTATTTAAAAATAAAAGAACCGGTGCCGACTTGCCGATACGTGTCAGAACTTGCATCCTTTGGCGCATTGCAGCGACCTTATCGAAGTGTTTGTTATTATTTGTTTGTTTTAGTAGTAAACGCATTATTTTCATTTACTCAATATATCAATGGGATTACAAAGTTTTAAAAAGGGAATATTTTTAATTGGGGATGTAAAATATCAAATCACTGGTTCAAAACTTCCCTCTAATGGATAAGTATTATACCAACTAAAGCTTTACCTAACTGTGTTAAGAAGTTAATTACATTGTACCAAGTTTGGAGAGGTTTGCAGAAAAATGCGAACAAAACGCAAGGCGTGTTCGAACAGCGTTGATAATCTTGCAGCGCCAGAGAGAGCCAGGTCGATCTGGTCGACCTATAAGCCTGAGCACAGTTGTCCGTATCAGTTTTATAATTAAGTCTTATAGTATTGGGAACTTGAAGTATTGAGAGCATTTCCAGAAAGTACCTCTTATTATGGTTCCTATCTTCATATAAGATTTTTGCCTTCTCAAAATCAGGTTCATGTTTATGGTCCATACAATGTACAGCCAATGCTGTATTGGCTTCAGCACCACTTTTATTTTTTAAACTATGTTTATGTCCAGCCATCCTTGTCTTAAGCTTATTTTTAGTCGTACCTATATATATTTTGTTACATACGTTGTACCCGTCATCTTTACAATTCAGCTGGTACACTACATTAGATTTGTCTTTATTATTTATTTTTGTTTTAGTATTGCTATATAATTTAGCTATTGTGTTAGTTGTCTTCTGAGTGATTCTATAACGTTCCTTGTCATGTATATTAGAATTCATTATTTGGTTTGACAATTTCGAAACTTAATCAATAGATTTATATATTTTTTTGTCATTATTATTGTTTGATTGGAGCTTTTTAAAGTTATTATTAAGCATCATATTAATAATCCTTTCGGGGAAGTCATTCTTTCTTAAAGTATCACGCACTATGTTCTTTTGTTTATTATGGAAAATATTGTCTCTAAGTAGTAGAACTCTTCTAATAAAATTGGATGCTGTATTTAAAATCACGTGTTTAGGATGATTGGAATTGTAGTTAATTAATCTTCCTGACGCTGAAGACTTTTTATACCTTTGAAAGTGAATTTGGTTATTATGTCTAATTAATTCAACATCTAAATAAGGAAGCCTGTTATTCTTTTCTTCTTGTATGGTGAATTTTAAATTTGTGTGAAAAGAATTAAAAATTTGAAGTATTTGAGTTATTTTATTTCTGCGTAGTATCGCGAAGATATCATTTACATACTTCGTTAATAATCTTGGTTTATATTCCTGGTCGTCCATACACTTTTCCAATAACTCTTCCATCACGATATCTGCTATAATGGGTGATAACGGTGAGCCCATTGGCATGCCTTTACGTTGTTTATAAATTTTGTTGCCTTGCATGAAGTAGTTATTTTCTTTAAGACAGAAATTTAAAATTTCGAAGAAAAGTGATTTTGTAATCTTAGTGAATGTCTTGGTTATATTCCACTTCTTTTCCAAAGAAGGTTAGTGATGCCAATTTTAAATTCACAGTTTGTGGTGCTATTCGGTAAAATTAATCTTTTTTGTGGTGCCATTTGCTTGAGTTTTATATTATTTTTCAACACTGCAAATAACCACAAATCCGGATAAATTTATATACATAGGCAGGGGTCGCACAAAGTTGGTTATTTTTATTCAGTGCATTTTGTTGTTGTTCACATCACTACATACGCACATAACCCGATAACCAGTGCCCAGTGAACACCCTAAGTGTTTTAACACATCACTCAATAAATCGTGTGACTAAGAAAAACAAATTTTTTCTGCCAAGAATCGATTTTACTCATCAATATAATCTCCTTCAACGGCTTGTAGAAGGATTTGTCTTTTACCTCAAAATAGGCTTTAGTTTCAGTAATTACTTCTTCATTTTAGATGAATTTTTTACCGGTGAGCATTTTTTTGACTATACGGTGGATAGGAAGCAATTCGAAATGTAATTCGTGCAATTTTGCCATCGTTTTTATTGACTTGTGACACGGTGCATTGTCTTGGTAAAACAAAAATTTTTTCTTCGCCATATACCGTCGTTTTTTAACAATTTCTGCTTTCAAACGATCCAGTAATGCCGCGTAGTAGTTACTATTGATAGTTTTCCCTTTTCGAGATAGTCAATGAAGATTATACCATGTGTATTCCCAAATACTGAAGCTATATAACCTTCCCAGCTGACTGTTGTGCCTTTGGACACTTCGGACTTGGTTCACCGGCTGCAGTCCACTCAGATGATGATCGTTTTGATTCCGGAGTGAAATGATGGATCCATGTTTCATCCATTATCGAGGCAAAAGATCTGATTTATTACGTGTAAACATGGCCAAACACTGCTCTGAATCATCAACACGTTGTTGTTTTTGATCGATTATGAGTAAACACGGCATCCACTTTGAAAAGAGCTTTCTCATGGTGAAATATTCATGCATAATTGTAAACACATTACCTTCTGATATCTTTACGCTCTCAGTTATCTCCCGCAATTTCAATTTACGATCAGATATAACCAATTTCTGGACTTTTTTGATGTTATCTGGAATAACCACCTCAATTGGATGACCAGAACGTTCACCATCATCGGTGTCTGTACGACCACGTTTAAATTTAGCAAACCAATAACAAATGGTTCTTTTCGATGGAGCAAAGTTCGGATAATACTTTTGAAGTCATTGCTGAGCTTGTACAGTAATTTTTTTCATCAAGAAGCAATGATAAATTAGCACACGAAATTGTTTTGATTCCATTGTTTTGAAAATAACAAAAGTAGCTTCACTTAAATAGCTGTCACTTTTTTCCTGACTAATCGAAATGGTATGAAATTTTACACATAGTCTTTTGAAGGTTGGTACTTCATAAACGTCATATGGATTTGTCAATGGCAGCGTCATCTGTGTGTTAGTCACACGACTTATTGAGTGATGTAATATTTACTGAATAAACACGAAAGTCTAAAATGTTTTCTATAGTTTCTATACAAACTTTCTATTAAAAGTTTGAGATCAAGTCGGCACGGGTTATCGTTATACGATACCAATAATATTTATTATTTCAGCTACTAGGATCAAATAGAAAAAAAAAAAAGGGGAGTGCGTATTTCAAATCAAAAAAAATTTCGCCCTGATACCCTAGGACATCCTAATATGTATAAATATTATTATTATTATTATTATGTATTATATATATTAATCATATATATATATATATATATAATTATTATTATTATTATATGTCATATATATTAATCATATAAATATATATATATATATATATATATATATTATATATAATTATATATATATATATATATATATATATATATTAGGGTGTCCCTTAAATGGCTGAAAAAAATTTTTTTTAGATATCGGAATGCATACCTCCTATTTCTTTTTAAACGGTATAAATCATATTGAACCAAAAAATAAAGAAATAAAATAATTTTGTAAAGATTTATTAAAAAAATATAAAGAAATTCTTGAAATATCGGAGGATTTATAGGATATTTATTAATCCTTCTAAAACACATACAATAAGTGTTAATATTTTTATTAAAAAAGGTAAACAAATTATTGAAGGAGTACCAAATAATAATCAATTTAAAAATCCTAGACTAGACCTAGACCTAGACTTACTTAAAAATAAAATTTGATCTTCCTACGTCAACGTTAACACGTACCGACAGAATTCTGAAGATTTTGAAAATTGTTGTTTTTAACCCTTTCCGCTATATACGTAAATCAATTGAAATATTAAAATTTTTATGAAATATTTATTAAAAGAAGATAAAATTACAGATTAGGCAGGATATTTCCTTTTGAGGGTCTCTTTTTTTTACATTCTGGATACAGATTTCTGTGCTCCTGAACACAGCGTAGCAAAAATTGCTTTTGCTTTTCCTTTGCAATGATCGAGCCATGAAAATCTTGCATAAGTTTTACAGCTCTTTCAGCCGTATTATTAACTGCTCTTAAGGAAAGCACTTTCCTTTTCGTCTTCCAATAGGCAACATCTTCATCCCATTTAGAAACGGGTCTCTGGAAGACATTTTTATCAATTTTTAATCGAGAAAATAAATTTGTGATCTTGACAGACGCAAAATCACTTAATGACTTTCCTGCAACAATAAATAAGGCAGTATTATTAACAATTTATTGAAAACAGTATAAAAAATAGTACTATTTATTGTATTCTTACTTACTATACAAATAATTAGACATATCTTCTTCAGATGGGATGTATCTCTTCTCAGAATCATACGAACTCTCTCTTTGCGAACTCACTACAATGTTCGTTTTGGTTTGTTCATTAACTTCATCATCAAAGAGCGATAAAACGGTAATTTCTTCTGGCAAGTACAAAAGATGTTGACTGAACTTGCTCAGGGCTGCTTTGGAGATCAATTTGTCAACAGTTTCATATTACTTAAGCTTCTTTGAAAAACATAAATCTTGATTTGGTGCCTTTACCGCCAGACTACATTCAAGCCATGGTTTTGTATATAAAACAGCAATGAATAATCAGATGTCTTGAAGTACTCGCTTATCCTTGACGCTAATTTTGAACTGGGATTGTAACAAACATATCTTTAAAGAGTAAATAGCTCTAGCTATCCTGGTGGTCTAATTTTATTTTTTTTCCACTGTCTCCTCCTACGAAAATAATAGATAGTTCAATCAATTCTCGATAATCATCACGTCCAATGGTTTTTTGCAGTTCTTGATTATAAAATGTCAACAAATCTTCTATTGCTGTATTAAAAAATGTCGTGTGAAGATATCGGTATATGTTTCAACGGCAACAGGATCAATAGTTTTCCAGTTGTCTCTTAACTTTTTAAAAAGTGGGATATCGGGGCTACTTGTGACTTGGTGAATTTTTGTTTCGAACACACATTTTAAAACCAGTTCATAAACGTGATGGAGGCAAGCAAAAAGTAGTAATTCCCTGTCTAATTTTTGTTCCAAAAGTACACAAGCTCCTTTCAATCGCCCTGTATTAGACACAGTTGTGTCACAGCACATTATTTGTACTTTGTTATCGAGGTTCCAGTCATAAAGTGCATTCAACATAGCTTCAGCTTGATCCAGGCTGGAAGAGCTTTCAAGTTTGGGTACAGCTAGAAGTTGTTCCTTTTCTCCAAATGAAATTAGAATTGGCAAGCGATCTTCTGCAGAACTTCTCACGTTAAGTGCAGGTAATAATTTCCCATCTCAGTGAACGGTCACCATTTCAGGCATATTATTCTGAAAATTTGATTTTATTGATTCCGCTTTATCTTTTCGGTTCTGTGTGCGAATACGTTGAATAGACGATTTGTTTATCGGAAAATCATCACAACTAAGATCTAGTGCTTCTACTAGAACCTGAAGTGTATTAACAGAATCCCTTATGCCTAATTAACATCTATCTAAAGCTGCAACTAACTTAGGCGTGATAAAGTTACTTAGGCGTTTGCTATATGAAATAAATTATCTAAATTGTTCTTAAAGTCGTCCTCACGACGCTTGTAAATATCTTGTGTTTTTTTAGAATTTATTTGCAACACCCTCCAAGCATAGTGAAGATGCACAAGTTTTTTTTTACACAGTTAGGTATGGCTCTGGTAGGGATTCTAGTTTTTTTCCAAAATATAATACACTCCCGAATAACGAGATAGCGCTTTCACTAACAGTCAATTTAACTACGCGAATGTTAAAAAAAGTACCGCAAGAACTTGACGATTAGACGGTAACTTTGCGCCTGTTATTTGATAATTTATGTTACAAATTAAGAAAACACATTTTTTATTGCTTCTTAATTCCACTGCCATACTTTAAATGTAAAACAATACGTGTTAATCGCGAGAACAATTGAAAACAAATGACAAATGTCTTGAATATGCACCGTTACTGCCGATCAGCACGGGTTATCGTACTCTAAATAAGGTAAACGTTTTTTTCCGAGTATTTTAGAGGCAAATGAACAAAACTAAGACCTATGCGTTAGAAATTTAAAACTTTGAAAAATAAGGGACACCCTAATATATATATATATATATTATTATTATTATTATTATTATTATTATTATTATTATTATTATTATATAT